AAAAGCTTCTTTTACTGGATGCAAGATATTCATACTACCGCCATTCTTGTACCAGCATCCTGTCCAAGCTGCACCTCCATCTTGAGTACTACAGTATGCTGACGGGCAAAGGCTCCAGCCTGCAGGTCCCACAACTCTGACTGAGAAAAACAATTACAGAGATGGTTAGATCATTCCTGCTGTCCTGTCTTTTAGGGATATTTATTGTTATTGTTGGTCTTCAACTAACCCTTTAAAACTTGCCATATGGGGCAGTGTGTGGCTCAGTGGGCTAAGCCTGTGTGTCTAAAATCACAAGGTCACTGGCTCAAACCCAGCTTAACCCCCAGCTCCCTGGGTGCTGCTATGGGTGGCTGCCCTTCACAGTCAGCTTACTCTACAAAGAGCAAGTTGAGGGAGGCATAAAGACAATTTCCCCACAGGGATTGATAAAGTATCAATTATTATTATTTATCTGTCACATATATTTATTATTTATGCAAATTTTACCTTCAAAATTAAGTATGTTCTTCCATTTGCTTTCAGTAAAATTTCATATTAAAAATTTTCCTTTAAGCAAAAGTATTTAAAACATGGAGCCACTCCACGCAGTTCAAAAATATGACTCAGTTTGAGATTTTCCTTGCTCTTCACAATGGCTGATAGTAAGCCCCACAGTCACCTTTAGGCAACATGGTTTCCAAGTAGCACTAACTTATGGAGAACTTTCCTTGCCAACAGCCATAAACCCACAATTCCTTAAGAGGTCTTGAAGGATCACTTTGGGACTGAGCAGTCAAAACCACTTGATTCTGATAATCAATCCATCCATCTATCCAACCCTTTTCTGTAACTACTTGTCCAGTGCAGGGTCACAGGGCTCGGGAGCATATCCTGGAAGCTTTGAACCCAAGGAAGGAAATAACCCAGGATGGGACACCAACCCATGCTGTAATAATCCTCTCAGTAATAATTATCCAATATTGTATTGAAATTTCTACTAACTACAAACTGTTCTGCTCTTTGAAGGTATGTTAGTTGCCTTCATTGGTCAGTTTTATTTGGAAGAGTGTAACACTGGGGGACTAGACATGATGATCCTTTGCAGACAGATTGCTCTTCTTGCTTTTTCTGAAATGACGTACTTCACCTGGGATGATTCATACAAATATATCCCCAAGGCTTTATTAATCATTTCGACCTTACACAGCTTGATTGAATCAGGTGGCCAGAACGTGGTTCAACCTTGCTGCAGTGACGTTATTGGACAAGTAACAGCTTGTGTAATACAGAGGGCACCGTATTTGTGTTGTTCGGTAGCTATAGGGGATGATAATGTCATCATCACATCTGGTTTAAGCATGAGCAATGCATGCTTTCCTCAATCCCCCCTCCCCTCTTCATGAAGTCACCAGCTTTGATGTGTCTCCTTATGTCTCTTTGCTTTACATGCAGGAGCATTTAACCTTCAAGGAACCTATATGTTTTGCACAACATAGGAAAGTTTGTCTGACACTTTCAAGATGTTATAATGTGTTTATGTGTGAAACTTACCTTAAATGGTAACCTGTTTGCTAGTAGCCCACATGTGAAACATCTTGCCTTGTAAAATATTTTTGAAGGAGTTGGATGAGTGTGCATGGAAATTCAAACACCATGTTGAAAAAGGTAATCAGCAAAAAATAACTGCGACACATTTATCTGACACCACATGTACTGTAATAAGCAGGCCTGTCAGATGTGGTAGCATGTGGACATTTGAGACAGCATAGTAAACAACACAGTCTTTGTGCAAAAGTCCTGTAACATGTGGGGGTACTTTTTTGCTGAATTCCATCATTGCATTTTAAATGTTACTAAAGTACAGTGCCAGCTATACATAATGAGTTTTGAGGAAGAGTCTTCTCAGACTTCATCAGCCATCCTAATACAGATCATGTGACCCTTTGTGTATGGGGCCGTGCAGAATCATGTGAGCCACGTGGAGTGCCCACTTGTGATCCAGCAACATCCCCTTGGGGCTAAGTTTTCCCCATGCATATTAAATTATCCCACAGAATCCTTCTATGTCCTACCATGCAGTTGATGCTGTTCCCTTGTCCTGCCCATGGTTCAGACTTCCCTAACTGTGCACAATGGCTTCAGTGATGAGCAACATGTTATTGAACTTAGATATACTTGTCAAGGCATTTTACCTGGCCCCTACATTTGAGCAAATAAATGATCCTCTTCATATATGACATCATGTTTTAACAAAATCAGTTTAACAAAAAGCAGTCTGATATTCCAGTACTATAGATTATTACAATTTCAATATCCAGAACTACAAGCTCACCCACATCCACAGGTGTTTGTCATACTCTTCTAAAGAGTGATAAACATGATTGATGGCCTTTTAGCTGCCATTAAACTGGCTCAGGGACTGAGTGTTATGATCCAGGCAATGGTGAAAACCCACGATATGTGAAGTCAAGCAGTATATTACAATACACCATCCCAACATTTTAATTAATAATCTGTTGCATTTTCAACTTGCACATTTATTAACAGTATTAGATTCCCTGTAAGTATTTTTATATAAAATAAACTGAATAGAAAATTATATTGGTGGAATTCAACTTTTAAATCTCATTCTAAGCTGGCCATTGTTTTTGATGTCACTAATGCTAACCCTAACCCTAAAGGTGACCCTGTCACTAAGTGTAATTCTAGCTCCAACCCTAATCCTATGCATAGCCCTAAATAACTACCAATTTAATAACTAAACCGATAACGCATATCTAACGCAGGCTAAGGCGCAGAAAACTGTAGTTTTCTATGACAATCAGTGTGGACAATGTTGTGTTCGAATAACTTGTACCATTAGGTGGAGCCAAAGACAAGGCTTTAAAAACATGATAAGAACAGCAAGTGCGAAAATAGAGCGGGACAAATTCAGCTAAAAAGTCAAATTATTCACTTCACTTGTGCCTGAATACAGCTGATTGAGTTTTGTTTTACTCTGAGGTCGTCCAGACCCTGATTCCGAGGTACTTACATTATCGTAGCCGTTTCCAACTCATATAGGGTTACACTTAAGCTTGCAGACTCTTTATAAAGGCTCGCACAAGAATTCGTACGGCAAATCTGTATTATTCCGTTATAAACCTAAAACTAATTATATCAAACGCGTTGGGGTACTTTCAAACCCTACATACTATTTACAAAGTAATAAAACGGTTACAAACATGTAAATGCGCAGGCAGACTCAAATTGAAAATCTCGGGCCAGCCAGCTGACCGAAGTTGACAACCCTGATTAAAAAGTCTTTATTTCCGTCCTCACCTTCGTTTCCTTTAACACATGTGCGCTGTCGTACTCAAATAAAGCCCTTGCTCCCTTATTCCTATCCATGTATCACGTGGTTCTATTCGCCTACCTGCTTCTTTTTGGCTGGGATGTTTTGTTTTACTGTCAAGAGTAGAGTGTATATATACTCTACTCTTTGCGAGGGTATATATTGGTGAGTTGCAGAAATAACGTTAAATTTAGAAAATAGTGGTCGACAGGCAATCAGGTGGCATTCCTGCTTGTACCTTTCCTGAAGGGGCTGGGCCTCACCTGACTGAGAGAGGCGTGGGGGTTTGCAAAACAGAAGTCTGACTTTCCCAGAAAGACGTGGCCAAAACCTGCTGAAAATGCGTCAGATATCTGAAAGTTAATGGTGCAGCTAATGTTAGCCTGCTAATGTTTCACTTTTAACTGAATTTTAAAAAACCACCGGTGAAAGAAGAGTTAAAGGTAAATTTGTTTTTACGTTGGTTTGGACTATGCTGAAATGAAAGTGAAACTAAGCAGTGGGTCGATAATTGAGATGTGGAGTCGATCGCGTGTGCTTCAGAGTGGCAGGATTTCACCGAATATTGTGTTCGAAATACAGGTATATCAATTAACGAAAAGGAAGTGCAGGCAGTAGATAGCCGGGGAAAAAGACTCAACGAGTAAGAAAGTAATTGCGAGGGTAAGCGCTGACCGACATCTGAGTGGAAGTGCAAGGACATAGTAACTGAAGCAAAAAAACAAAACAAAGAAACAAGCCAATAAAATACGCATCTGCATTTATTTTTTAAAAAGAAATTTTCTGCTCTGTTTTAGACTCGGCATCACGTGTTTGATCTGTGCACTTTTAAGTGTGCAAAATATAATAACCGTAAGGCCTTCCTCGGATGACTAAACGGACCTGCTAGGGACTTTAACACGGGGGATGGAAATGTAGCTCAGTCAAGGACTGCGGTTTTCACATGTAAAATCCCAAGGAATTCCACTGTTACCATTAAGATTTCCTAGGGCATTGAAAACTTTTATCTACCTCTCGTGAATGGATATGTGGCCAAAACACAAGCAAAATGAAACATTGTGTTTGCTTTTGACACCTCCAGACCAGAAGACAGCCACTTGCTAAGTCATTCACATGGATGTGCCCACTTCGACATGAGTTCAATGGCTAATCACCCACACCAGCACTTTACTGTGTTTTGGCTCTTTCTGGCTCATGTATCAGGGCTCAGATTAGTTCAGGGGTCTCCAGCTCCTGTCCTGGAAAGCTATTGTCCAGTAGGTTTTCTATCCTACCTGAGTTCTGATGAGCCACACCCATTCCTAGTATTTACTTGAGAACAGTGGCCTGTACTACGAAGTGGGGTTACTGGCTTATCGGGGTAACTTGTCGGATTTAAGGTACCACAGTTTAAATGGACTTCGTATTTGTTCACTTACATTTTGCCCAGACTACCTTAAATCGGACAAGTTACCCCGATAAGCCAGTAATCCTGCTTCGTAGTACAGGCCACTGGTTGGTCTGGCTTTCTTCTTTGTGCTTACCATTAGCACTCAGCACCTGAGTCCTGCTTCGCTACCTTAGCTACATACCTTTCAGTCAGTGGCCCAAATCCTGCAGTGAAAAGGAAAGATATGACAGGCAGGATACCTGCCAGTGGCAGTGCATGTGTTTGGGGTGTTTCAGTTGATTGTGTTTTTTTTTTTTTTATACTTTGCCTTAATACTGAACTGTTTTACTAACTTGGTTTAGATAAACTTACAAATTAGTGAATTCCTTTTGTAGTTAGTGGTTTGTCACATGTCTGTTTTATTTTTTGTTTTTGCATTGCTGTGGGGTTTATGTAAGTAACGCCTAGGTAAGTGCCACTTCCAAGTGGAAATATAATGTACATTACCCTAAATAAAATGCTATACTGTATGGTTTTCTCTATAGCTAATTGCTGACATTGTTGCTTAGTTCTCTATCATGATCTGCAGCATGGTGTATGCAGTCTACTACAGATTTATATGCAGTATGCTAAGCTAATTAAGCCTCAGAGCATATTTGCATACAAAACCAATGTGGATTCATACACTCCACAGCAGCACATGCACTAACTGTCCCTTGGGGGCCGTATGTGCATGGCTGGCCAGCCATGTGGTGTTTTAGATAAGAGGACACGTGTAGAATGGAGGGCCGGATATCTGCTTAAATACTTCAGGTTGCTTGTCAGAGAATCGATGCCCTGATCCATAACTGTGACTTTCATTGCCCAATAATTTCATTTGTAAAGCTTGTCAGAGTTATGTGTTGTCTTGATTCCCAACACATAGAACGGGAATACCATAACTGAGATGTAATTAGGAATCATTTTTCTCAGAATAGTAAGGCACAGTGATACTGCGACCGCTTTTGGGTGGCAGGACACCCAGGTCAGTACTTATTGCTTCCTATCGTCAAGCCTAATTACAGTTAAATTATGTATTGGATAATCTATCAGGCATAATGTAAACCGTGAGGGGTTTGTATTCAGGAATGAGGAGTCATGGCCAATATTTGTGATGTTGGACCCTGGGGGGAAGCTGAACATGTCTGCCCTGCCCCCTACCAAAAACACTCTTTATTCATGTCAAATTCACATTGAACAAAAATAATTACAAATTCAGCTGCGAACTGGGGATTATGCAGATCAGGTCACATGATGCACAATGTAATTTTTGAGTGATATAGTCAATTACATGAAGATGGTTAGTGCTGTGTTGGACCCTAATTAGTGCAGTTGACTTTAATGAATTTCTATAGTGTTATCCTGTTACCAGGAAGATTTCTAATAACCATTGGGCAACCTTAAAATTGTGTGATAATTGACTGTATGAATAACCTCATATGACAACACATTTTTAAAATATTATGTGAAATGCATTTGTTAATGAATAGTGAAGGATCCAGATATTTGATATCTCCATGTGTCCAGTTATTGTAATGGGTGTGAAAGTTGTTTGTGCACAGGTGACAGGGTTTGTGAGGTAAGTGTTGGGCTAGACTGCTATTAAAATCCGACACTGAACATTGGGGTTCCCCCACGGTAAATATTACCAAGGGTGAGAGTCCCTCACGATGGTGTTTGTTGAGGGGGGGGGGTCCCATGACAATGAATTTTGCGGCCCGGGAAAAGGGGCACAATACATTCTGCCAGCCCACAAAGCCATTGGTTGACCGAGAAAATGCTCAGTATGCCAGATGGCCAGTGCAGCCCTGGTGTTGAGCCCTCACGTGTTGTGTGAACCAGCTTGGTTTCTGTGGATACACGCCCGGTGTGACACGATGACACAAACAACGCACTTGGCTGGGTGTTTCGCTCCCTGACAAACACGGTCCTGGCCCCGCCCATTACACGTCAACCCCCCCCCACTCCAGTTCTCAGGTGACCCCGGAGGAGCTTGGGCTCAGGTATGCTGCTCCGGTGGGCGAGCCACGGCTGCCGTGCTTGCGTGATGTAATCAGACACCGCGCGCGGTAGGAATGGTGAGGTAATGGGGGTGGGGCGGGCATGAGGGACGACAATGTAAATAAAGAGCTTTTTTTTTTGTTGTTTTTTTTTTTTTTTTTTGCTGCCACTAACGACAGTTTTCTGGCTGCCATTTGCAGGGCCTGGTGTGAAGGAGCTTTAGCAAAGACGAGTTGAAAGCTTTCACCGACGGCAAGCAGGTAGGGTTATCTACACCTCTGGTTTAGCCTTTTATCCCCGCAAAGCAATTGAGATCTGGTTTTTCATTTGGCTTAAAAACAAATCTTTTATGAAGTCAAATTTTAATTTCTTTTACCTCGACTGCTTTTGCTGGGGGGGGGGGGGATATGCAGTTGTGAAGGTTTGTAGATAATTTATCATGCTTGGTGCTGAAAGCAAGTTCATTATGACAGCTTAGGTGTTTCATGGACTGAGTTATAAATCATAAATGATGCCTTTTTAAATGGGAGAAACTCTAGGAGACTAAGGATTAGTATTTGCCGAATGTGTTTGGAAAAAAAAAAAATAAAGCAGCAGTCACTGGACGTCAAAAGTGTTTTAATTTGCCAAAATGTTATGGACTGCAGAAGTGCTTTGGATTTAAATGTAGGAATGTTTTAAAAAAATCTAATGTTTTTAAAAGTTTTAAGAGTTTGTTTTAAACAAAAGAAATTCAAATATTTGGCTCAAGCTGTCTGAACATTTCTTAGTATGATTCTGGGAGCCCGTCTGCCGGTGTATCTACTTACTGAAAGGGGCATCGCGCGTGTGATCTGTGCTGTGCAGCGGCCGTTTGTCGACACCAGAGGTAAGCAGGCCTCGCGCTGGTACCCTGCTCGGTGCAGCTGCTTGTTTGCATGTTCTTGTTTGCCATGACGTGGTACGCCCGCTTCCTTCCTGCAGCGCTCTTGGCCTCAAGTTCGAGATAAGGGAGTGTGCTAAAGAGGAAACGGGAGGGTCGCCCTGTGTTTGGGGGAGCTGTGAGAGACAGGGTAGAGAGCTGGTCCTCGTCTTCCTGCCCCGTGAGCGAACCGCAGCACCTACAAAGGGGAAGCGAGACCTGCAGTCCACACGAAAGTCCCCTGAACTTTGGAGGCCTCAGGTAATTTTCGCGCACTGGTGCTTCTCTGCCAAATATAACTGCTGAACAGCAAAGACTGGTTTGACGGTGATGTTTTTTTGTTGATTTAGTCATTTCTGCCAAAAGAATGATCAAGTATTTGTTTTTTTTTTCCGCTCCAGGTTAAGGTGTAGTTACTCTGCTTGCAATTAAACATTTTGACCCAAACCGGGACACAAAATTTACATCCGTCTGGTGACGAGTCCCTTCAGCTTCTCTGGAATATGCGTGGTGGCTCCTAAAGATAAAGTACATCTGCTCTCTGGATTGTTCTGAAGAATTTGGGACCTCGGGCACGTTTCTGAAAGGCTGCTTTACACATCCGGGCCCTCCAGTCATATCTGGCACAGATCTGAAGCTCTTTGGGATGAGACTGTAACACTCCGGAGCCCCAAAAACATGACGGCGGCCGTTGGGAACAGCGAACTTGCCTTTGAGTTTGTCAGTGGTTGTATAGACAGTGTGCAGCAGGTAAGACACTGCGTCTTGCGTCCGTGTTGGCTGCGTGTGGTGTACGTATGCATTTATCAGCAACATGCCTTACTGCCTCAATGTCCAATATGAATCTAAATCATTGCTGCTTTTATTACTGACGTATGCACAGTACATTAGTATATAGATCTACTGTATATATTCTATATATAGTGCGTGAAGGTATATATTGTTATGTAATCTGAAGTTCTGAACCTACATACTAAAATACTGTATGCAGAGAGAGAGACCTTTCTCACATCTACTTGTTTGTGTCATGAAGGGGGGTTGGTGACTAACTGCCGTGTAATTCGCCTGTACTTTCCTGTGATATTTCCTACGCATCTCATCTTGGCCATGAGCAGTTTTAGCACTCGGCATTCGCCAGGGGTGTGGCAGGTAGAAGCCCAGGGGTTCCTGACAGAGAATACACTGAATCAAAAAAATGCACGACGGCCCAGAGGTTCTGATCTGTCTGTGGCTGCCTCGGTAAGGCGTGGCCTCGAGTGATGGGGGGTGGGGTTGGGTGCGGAAGTGACTCGGAGGCGTGCCAGAAGCCTAGGGTACGGACCATGGGGTGCCATGTCATGGTCGTCGATTCGCTCAGAAGGCCACTGAGCTCGTCTGACTGCAACCCCAGTGACATCGGAAGCCGATATGTGCACGGGCGCACGGCATATGCAGTGACCACAGCCGTTGTGGTTTTTGCCCCCTCCACTGGCGTCCAGGCAGGCAGTCAGTACATGCTTATGGTGATGTCTGCACAGAGAGGTGTAGCGTTTCACAGCCCCCACAAGTTGTGAGGAAGGAGGTGTGTCAGAGGGCTTTTTGAGGTGGAAGTGAACGTGTCCATGTGCAGCCCTTCCATAGCTCTGAATATATCACTGCGGCTGTGTGTTCAAAATGAACAACTGGATATTTCGGTGAAGAAGTATAGGTGAAGTTCCTTTTGCCAGTTCCTCTTTCATGGCTCAGCCCCCACATCAGTAACTTAGAGGCTACATGATGCCGCATTGACCTGGCACTCCATCTGATCCTCAGTGTCTGTCTTGTGTCCTGTGCAGCTGAGTGACCCCTCGGTGTTCCCGGCTGTTATCGTCGAGGAGGTCCCCAACTCCCATCTGCTTAGCTACTCGGACTTAACCTGCGAGCAGCCAGCATCAGGGGGCCTCGATCCAGCTGTGGGGGCAGAGGACCCCGGGGTTCATGGAGGGGGTGTGACTTTCACAGGTGATTCATAAACTATAATACGTAATAAATCCCTGACTCCTTATGTGCGGAAGGTATAAATATACAACCAATTTACACATCAACACACACTTGTGAATTGGCACTTGCAAACTGCCCGTTTGTGTGTGTGTGTGTGTGTGTGTGTGTTCTTTATGATAGACTGGCCTTCTTAAAGGTGTGTGCTCTGTGATACTTGGTACAGGTTCCATCCTGCCCAACCTTTTATTGGTTAAGCAGGATGGATAGCTTTTAATCCAACGCTTTTATAAAACATTCTAGCTTTCAGGCTTGAAGCAGTTACACCAAAGCCTCTATAAATGTTTTGTCTTTAATTATTCTTCTGAGAGGTCATTTGGTTGCATATTAAGGGAGATTAGCACTTCTTAATACACAACTGTTACATCTATACTATTTATAATTATAGTTGTAAAGCCTTGTGTGAACACTGCTGACTTTGTGTTTTAATCACCTTTTAGCTGTTTGGCCCAAACTCACAGGCTCATAAACTGATCTTTCTCACTGATTTTTTTTCACACGCTGGAACGCTGATGCCAAGGCAGCCTGGGCTGCTGTGGTTTAGCACTAACTGTAGCTACTAAAAGCTCTCCTCATCTGAGCCCAGGCTTCTGCCTCTGAGTTTCCCATGGTCTCGATTAGGGTGCCTGAGTTATTCATCTTCTCATTGATGCTGTTTGAACTTCTGCTGCTCCCAATAGCATCTTTCACTCTGAAACACAGTCCATCTACCTTAATGCCACCTACCCAGCAGTGTCGTAATGCTTGTTATTTATAGCTAAAAATGTTTTGGAAGCAGAATGACCTAACAGTTCTTTCCTGATTTCAGTGGGAAACAGTGATGAGACCATGGAACCTATAGAAGGAGCAGAGGCCCTGCTGAGAATGGACTCCTCCAGGGGACTTTTCGATGAGGAGCACATGGGTGAGGTGTATGCTATGAACCTGACCTAGCCGATGTCCACCCATCTGATGGAGATGCGTTACTATTGTATCGCTTTGCCCACCTGCTGACAGTTTTAGTTGATACTGCGATATGTGGGACAGAAGATGGAAGGAAGTGCTTATATAAATGTTAACTGCAAAGTCCTGAATTGAAAATTAACATTTTATTGGTGGTATTTATGTAGCCTGATACATTTAGAGTCTGCTAAAAAAAAGCGAATGTAACCGGGCTTCCAGTCTCAAACAGAATCCTCTTGCCCCGTTACTTGTCTAGCTTAGCTCTCAGGCTCCTGGCTTCTTACTGAAATGTCTCATCCATCTGACCATCTGCAGCTCACCCATTCGCACTGTGCAGCAGTGGGGTCGCGGCCGCTGTGAAGTCGCCCCGCGGTGCGGGTGGCAAGGTTGGGCAAAGCGCTGTGGCCAGAGCGGCCACCCAGCAGCCCGGGAGGAAAAAAGGTACGTCAGACATCTTACTGCAAGAATGTAGGACAAAGTGCGATTACAAACAAAATGTCAAGTTAAACCAGACACGTCAATCGTGAATGTTTGTATATTATCTGTAGGTAATTATACAATTAAAAAAGCCACAGGTGTCAGACTCCAGTCCTGGAGGGCCGGAGCCCTGCACATTTTTGGGTTTCCCCTCGTTTAACACACCTGATTCAACTTCTTGTGCTAATTACCACATAGCTGTTGAGCTGAATCATTTGTGGTGGAACAGGGAAAGAACTAAGCTACACAGGGCTGCGGCCCCCCAGGACTGCAGTTTGACACCCCTGTTCTAAACACAACCACAGCATCCTAAGCCACTGAGCCACATGCTGCCCTCGCTTCAGTATGAAGTCATTTTGTACATGTTAGTGTTTCCTTTATTCCCGCCTTCATTCTCAGTCCCCTCCCCTACAGGGAGGCGACCCCGACAGCCCCGGCCTGAGTCACCGACACCAGAGCTCCAAATAAAGAAGCGCAACAAAGATGGCAGAGGTGCAGTATGAGTGTTCTGCGATATGTCAAAGTTTTCAGTTTCCAACGTTAAACTGTTTAGGGCACATTCTGTCCCGTAACCTGTGGAATGGAATTCGGGAAAAGGATGGAAGAAAAATTTCAAAAGGAATGGAAAAAAATATCAATGGACTGTGTAGAATGAGAGTAATAGAGGGTGGTCACTTTGTGTCTGATTTGGCATTGTTCGTCTGGTGGACAAAAAGCACAACCGGAGTGAGATGATCGTATCGTGAGATGATGAAGTTTAACATTCTGCTGTTAAAATTTCAGAATAGTATCAGTTTGCGGTGGTAGATTTCACAGTAATATACTGGGAAACAGCCAAACCTCATGATGTATTTTTATGTTAATCCGTTTGTTTATGATGAAAAATTAGACCTTCACATCCATTAGAAGATGATGGTGCTAATGTGTGAAAATGTCCTGTGAGAAATTTGAAAACCTGGTAATTATCACTCTGTTTTTGGCTCACCAAACAACATCGTGTGTGATCTGCAGGAAATACTCTCTATCTCTGGGAGTTTCTGATGGCCCTGCTGCAGGACCGGTCCACATGCCCACGGTACATTAAATGGACCCACAGGGAGAAGGGCATCTTCAAGCTTGTGGACTCCAAGGCGGTGTCACGTCTTTGGGGGAGACACAAGAATAAACCTGACATGAATTATGAAAGTATGGGCAGAGCTTTAAGGTAAGTCTCTCCAATAGAGTGATAGCAACTGCCTGTAGTGTGCATTCAAGGTGCAGTACAATACATTTCACATTTAACAGGTGCTTTTGTCCAAAGTGATAGGACACACTAATGATCAAATATTGGGCTCAGATAGCAGTGTTAGCCAGTTCCCCCCACCTTTGGAGCATTTGGGGTTAAGGACCTTACTTAAGGCCTCATTGGTGATATGATTACTATATTGGTCCGAATATTAGACGAGCCCCTCCCCCCCCAGTTTTTTCAGCAACTGTTTTTGGGGGGAAAAATTGGATTACCAAACCTTCGTTAAAAGAAGAATCATTTTATCTGACAAGCACAGATAAGAAGATAAACCCTATCACTGTTAAAAAGCAACCACTGGCAATTGCATTACAGGAAGTGTATTGAATAGCAAGCACTGCAATAAACAAATGCATTATTGGGGGGGGGGGGTGGTCAGTATTACAATGTAATGTTTTTGGGGCAGTACAATACTTACAGGAAACATCCATGTACCTGGAGTTATGGACCAATTGCCTCCTGCCATTGCTAGAACAGAGCTAGTTTAAAACCATGTTATAAATGATATGAGTCTGTGTCTTTAGCTTACAAATGTTACCCCTCTCTCCTTAAGACCCCTTGGCAGCTCTTGTACCCTGTTGACCTTTGAAGTACAAACAATAAATTATTTGTACTGTACATCGGATGCATTTTGGTTCTTTTAACTGCTACATTCTTTCGTGTTTATGCCTTTTAAAAGCATCATCTGTAAGTGTTCATATTGGAGATTAGCTTAATATTCTTTTGCCTTCGTTGAGTGTTCCCATTCCGCATCGCTTGGAGCAGTATGCCGCTGTATGGCATTTAGCCTGATATAGCTCACATTTTAATTACTTCTTACCTGTCATTCTTTCTTATAATTTCCCTTCTGGTCATTAAACACATAAGTGTCCTGTGTACTAAACCCCAGGAGCTTGGAAGTTACCTCCTAACTAAAGTCTCAGTTGAAAAGGAGTTTGGCTGTTGAATTGTACACATAAGCACACAATGAGACTAGAATAGTGATTTATTCATTTTTTTGTGGCAGATATTACTACCAGCGTGGGATCTTGGCCAAGGTGGAGGGCCAGAGGCTGGTCTATCAGTTTACAGAGATGCCGAAGAATCTGGTGTGGATTGATGATGAGGAGCAGTCTGACGGCAGCCGGCTGGTGGATGTGAAAACATTTCCTGAGAGCCCCATCCAGACACCACCAGTTCCTAAGTCATCCAGTAAGAGTGACACACAGAAAACCAGAGTCAAGGGACCCAGAGCAAAGCTGAAGTGTGTGCCCGCTAATGCAAGTGACCGGGTGCTGGACCTCCAGCAAGCAGGAGATGGACAGGCAGGCCGACCCCTGGGGCTGATTCAGCAGCACCACCTGCCTATCGTGTCTGCCGAGATGATGAGGACGCTGCAGAACATCCAGTCAGTGCAGCCAGGACAAAACGGCTCTGTGTTTAGGACTGTGCAGCTGCTGGAGAGCTTGCAGTACGCCCAAGAGAGAGATGTTGATTGTGGCAACCTCCAGGGGGAGACAGTGCAACCAGTGAAGTATGTTTAACTGCAATGGGGAGCTCTGCTTTCTTACATTTTTATAACCATTTTTATGTAATATGTTTTTGTGTAGATTATGTTGGGAAAGATTAATTTTCCATTTATATTATGGGCTAAAACGACAGGCTTAAATTTCTTTTTTTTTTCTCCTCAGCTTCTTAGCCAGTCAAGCACAATTACCAATGGTTTTGTCGACAGAAAACCAGCCAATCCAGACACTGACACTGCAGACCGTTCCAAGAATAGTCCTGGCCAATCAGGATGAGTCTGGGGGCTTGGCCACATCTCCTAGCTTTTTTCTACAGACGTATCCCTCCCTGCAGCCAGTTGCAGTTATAATGGAGAACATCACCTCAGACGACCACTCAAAGAGCCAGGAAAAGAGTGTGCTGTCCACATCCCTACCGCTGGCAGGAGGGGTTTCTCTGACCGCGTTCATCGGTGGCCAGCAGCTGGCTTCCCAAACCTCGGGCACCGCCATAACCTCGGTCATCTCTGCCCTAGAAGACAGACCAACTGAAAAACTGGAGATGGAGGACACAGAGTCAGAAAGGCAGATGGGAATGAAGTCAGAGACCCCTGGGGTAGTCGTCCTCAGTGATGCCTGGGTTGGTTTGGAGGGCAGCAAACAGGACCCAGCATGATGAACAGGTCAGAAATTTTCTGGAGCACTTATACCTGAAAATGCTAAAGCTAATGTAGTGTTGTGTATATACCTGGGAGGTCATCAAGCACCCTTACAGCCCCTAATCTTTAAATGTAAGACAAGTTGGTAAAGTTTATCAAATTTCAAAGTTTGGCTTATATCTAGACAAGATATTGTAAGCCTGGTCAAAACTCAATGGAGCGCTCCATCTTCCCTCCCCCCGCCTTGGTCAAATTTATTACCTTTATTTTACTGTGAAGTATAATTTAATAATATCAACAGAGATTTAGTAAACACAAGACCTTTATTTTCACTTTTGTGACAAACGAAATACATAAATAAAGCAGATTTGCCCCCCCAGGGCCCTCCCAGCTCAGGGCCCCAGGCCATTGCCTGCCCTGCCTTTCCTGTCACTGTACCTCTGTATGTTTCTCAAAAATATAGTGAAACTACATTGTAATAGTTTTTTTTTTTAGTTTTTTTTTATGATTGTTAATCTACGCATGAGTGGTAATTTTATGGAACAATTAGAAAAAAAACATCTCAATGAAGAATGCACATATGTAGTATATAAAGTGTGTCAGTGTCTATAATATTAAAAATATAAAATAGCTTCTCTTCTGGTTTCCCTGTTCCCGCAGATTTCCTTGAGCAATGGCTGCCATTGAGTAAATTGCCCACATTATGTTCACTGCAATTAACTGGCACCTCACCCAGGGTGCCCCCCAACCTGGCACCCGCATTCCTCTGCAACTCTGACCAGGACAGCAATCCAAGTGGTAGACTGGCATGGTCAGCTGAACCGTGCACCGAGACTGTGAATTTGACAGAGGATTTGCAGGAACATGGTGGTTTCAGTATGATACGAGCCCCTTATCTGCCTAGCAGGGCAGAGTGTTCTTCTGTTTCCTGGACATCAGAAAGCTCCCAAAATAACTGTAGAAATGTAACTCGCTACCTGAGCTGCTGGTGGACCTTTGTATGTTTGGATTTCCTTCCCATAGCCCAACAACAGCAGTTGCCTGTAATGCCCAATTTACTCTTTGCTTGACTATATTCTGAAAATGGATGGAACATTCTGGCATTTGGTCGGGAGAAAGACTGTCTGCTTTTAATGGTACCACTTACCCTGACTGTGTTTTGGACTATGAGGGAGCCTAATTTGCTTACACCAATGCACATGTCAATCTGAATCTTATGTATTTTTATTTTTAAAATATGCATTAAGTATTAAATTCAGCTTTTATGCATACAACTGATACAAGCATTACATACTGCTGAACTTCCTACGTGTTTTAATGAAAAATATTTTCTCATTGTGTTGTTTAAATTTGTACTAATGTACTTTTTGATAAAATTATAAAATTGAAGATCAGATGTTAGTAAAAGCCTTGTGCATATATTTTGAAACACTGTAGATAATGTGAAATATATTACTGCATATTGTATTTTATAAATATGAAATGTTTTACAATTTTTTATAGCAGTCATTGAGGAAATATTAGTTTTGTGAAATACATTCTGAAGTGTATAAAACTCTTTGTTGGTTTAGTTTTCAAGCAAATAAAAATAAATGTGAAAAACCTTCTCTGTCTCTCAATTTCACTAAACATTACTGAACTGGTTGAAGTCCCAAAGGAACTTTCATTGTGAGATATGACATAGGAAATAGTGATGCATCTTTGAGTATTAGGATGATTAATAACATTCAGTAAATGTTGATTATTCCCATAAAGGCAGTAATAGCATTGTTGCCTTTCACCTCCAGAGTGTGGGGGTGGGGTGGTTGAATCCTGTATACATGTGTGTGCGTGATTTGCATTTCTCCCTATGTTGTGGGGGTTTTGCTGGGTACTTCATTTACCTCCCACAAGCCAAATAAATGTACAGTAATTAGGCCAAGTTGCCCAATTAAAGAATTCTATATGTATAGACCCCAGCCTTTTGCCTTATGCTGCTTGGGGTAGACTTCAGGTCCCTCATGACCCTTCACTAATAAGCAGTGCAGTATACTAAATGCACAGGGCCAATAAAACATGTGGCACCTAGAATATTTGTTGACGTCTCTTGTATTTCGCGGTACCTCTCCGAGCCACGAGGTGGTGTTGCAGTTTTGTTGCCGAGTTTGTCGGCGCTGAGGAAGTCTGCATTTTCTTCCACGGTCTACTTGACAGTCATGACGTCTCCGCGACTGTCATCCAGAACTTTCTAAACGACAAGTGGCGAGTGGCTCTAATGGCAAGCGGACGGTTAGTGGGTAACTCGCTGATAATCTAACAAAAAACCTTTGGCGTATTTGCATTATCCGGCCTCTGTGTTAAGCTTTTCCCCAATGTTTTTTTTCTCTGTTTTCAGGAACTTTCCGGAAAGCGTCATAGACGAAGATCCCAAGAAGGCTCTTGAGGTACTGTGACTCAGACTGGTTAATTAACTACAGAAATATGCTTATATGAGGACGAGTTTAAAGGCAGATTCTGTTTAACTTGCTAGGCAACTGGGTGAAAATCCACAACCTTCGGGTAAATAGCTCTCTGGTTCAGTGGCGTAAGTGGTCCGCTATGTAGCTCGCGTACTATCTTCCTAGCTGTCGAGATTTCCTAACGACCTGCTCTTTGGGTTTCTAAAATTTCATTTAATGTCTGATTTATACGAGCTCCGTATGTTTGAAACGTCAGGACCTCGGCCTGTGTGTAGCAGCAACCCGTGAGTATCCCGCCTTATGGCGGCATGCTGACGCTGGTTCGTAAACACCGACCGTTTCGGTGTACTCTGCCATGCAGGATCTGAACAAGGCTTTGGAGGAGACGAGCAGCAACGCGGAATGGCTCTGCCAGCGGGCCTATGCCTACATCTTACTGAAAAACTACAGCGGTAAGCAGACTGTCTTGAGACTGTAATGTTTACTGATGCACTGCTCTCATGGGGCGCCTGAATGAAGTTAGTCATTTTACCATTGATGGCAGTTTCTGTATGGAAATAACCAGGTCTAAAACCGGCATCGGTCCTGTGTTTAGCATCGCCACACATTTCAACGCTGATTTATTTACTCACGTAGAGGCCGTGGAGGATGTCAAGAAAGCCCTGGAGCTGAAGCCCGATTTCGCCCTTGCTTTCATGAGAAGAGGGTGTGTACATAACTGTTCCATGTAAACCTTGTGCGCTGTTTTTCCACTGTCATTGGGTTATTTTCTGTATATGCAGACGGTGCTGGATATTTTTGCTTAACAAATGGTTAGGCCTGGCATTATGTTGCTTGTCTCAGATATAAGGTGTCAGGAGAGATTTATGGCAAGTTCCGCTCAGCAAGTTGATAATACTGCAAATGCAGAAGTGCTTATTGAAACAAAATGGGGAAAAAAAAATATATGAAGCTTAATTTGCCTTTTGCCCAAGTACAGATTCATTGGAATGCTTCTTTTCACGAATCCCATCTAGCTCTCCTTTGAGACGTACACACACATATGTAAAGGTGAGATTGAAGCCTGGGGCCCGAGCACAGGGTCAGTCATTTATCTGGTGCCCCTGAAGCATTTTGAGAAGGTTAAGGGCTTTATTCAAGCACCCAGTGGAGATTTGTGGAGGCTGAGCCTCAGCCCAGCGACCTGCCGATCACAGGCTCAGAAGCCTAACCTGCCCCTGGCTAAATTGTAGGTAGATAAAAATTAATGTATTATATTACGTAAAGCATTTTTCTGAAGAAGATGCCTTCCTCTGCACGTCCAGAATGTTTGTGTTCCATAGTTGCAGAATACTTGGTATTGGCTTCGAATGCTTTGCAAAATGAAAGCAAGTAAATGTGCTACCCTAAACAGTAAATTAGGGCTGGGCGATATCATATCGATATTATATCGCGCACGCGCAATAGTCACTAGGACTTCAGATGACTGGCACAACATTTGGCCATGCGCCATCTTGGTGCTATACGAACATTTATTTATGCCCACAATTTAAGCAGTTTAGTAGTATGGCTAAAATATTAATGAGGCTTTGTATGACATCCAGAAGTCATTATTAGTATAAATACGGCATATCTTTATGTTTAATAAATGTGTCAAACTTTGAACTGCAAAAAGTACCACCACACCGTCGACGTCTTTTTACCTTGTTTATCCACAAGATCTCCTCTTTTAAAACATGTCGTGGCTGCTCTTCCAAACTGTACTAAACCGTAGTAAACCAAAACATTATTATGTGGTGTGCACTGCTAATCGAATTTAAGAAACATAAAGTTTATACAGATTACTAAGTTTTGGGTATCACAAAACGCATCTCATTAATATTTAAGCCATACTACTAATCTTCTTACCAAATTATGGCCGTAAATTAATCTCCGTATAACACCGAAAAGCTGGCTTCCGGCCAAATGCTTCATCTGTCATCTGACCAGGGCGATGATTATTGCGCTTTTGTGATATAATATCGATATGATATCGCCCAGCCCTACAGTAAATGTACATATTAATGTCATTAGTGTTATGTAATCGCAATTTTCTTTGTTTTTATGCTGTAGAATTGCAGAATACTATTTGAATAACTTCGAATTGTCACACCAGGCCTTTGTAGCAGGACAGCAGTTAGATGGTAAGTTGACAAGCTTCTTATTTAACATTGTAGACTGTAAGGTGGTGTCTGGTTTTATATGTTCTTTCCCCCCAACACAGATTCAGATAAATCCTTTGAGATATGGATCAAGCTGTGTGAGGAGAGTATGACCTGTAAGTAGGAATATGCCTGAGTTCATTGGCTTTGGCTCTGGCTCCATCTTACTGAAATGCTTGTTCATCACCTTAAATCATGAATTCAGCCAAGTCCTTAGAGAAACTATATTACCCACTTCCTTAATAATGCAGTTTGAATGAGCAGGCTGAGAAATAACAGTGGCATGCATCTAGCTGTTAGTGTCAGTAATGTGTTTAGCTGCTGTAGAAACTGCTTAATGCAATATTATCGGCAGGTGGAATGACAGTAAGGAGAATGAACATGAATCTTCTCAACATCTCCTGGTCCTTGGGGCTTGGGAGAGTGCTATATAAACCTGTCACCACCCCCTCCTGCTAAATGCCCCTTTCCGTTTACTTTTAAAAGACCAGTGAACGGTTAGTCTTGTGGGAAAAAGATATTGGCTTTGCTTTGTTGAAATGGCTGTGAAGTACTTTCATCGATTCCGCAGTAGCTTTGTGGTAGCTTTGTTTTTTCCCTTTTTTTTTTCTTTTTTTCTTTCAACTATTTGACCTTTTAAGTTTATACCTTTCTCTCTTCTGGATGCTGTTTATAAAATGTTCTTTGTAATTTTGAAATACAGTCGTAATTAGATGTTTTTTTTTAAATATTTTATTGGAACACAGCTGCTATATTCTCTTCATTACAGTGGGAAAACACAATGGAACAACAAACATGGTGAGGTTCATACTTATTTTACTAAGTGTCATTGGTTAAGAGACCAGGCTTCTATTTTCCCCAGACATTTGAGTCTATGGAAATGAGAGTTTTGCCGAAAGAAGTTGCTCCAGGCAATGATAAATGAGGAAATTGAACTGTTGCTGTATCGTATGGTTCACCACATGAGGGAGCTGTTTCATCTGTAAAGGTTCCTTGTCCGTTACAAGTAATTTGCCTGCCCAGCTGTGCCATGTATCTTACATACTTAACTTAAATCTTTGATTGAAATCATCTGAATGTTTCCCCCCTATCTGATTCTAGCAGCAAGCAGCAACGGCTAACGTGAAGTAGGTGTCTAAGCCTTGCCTTCTCACTGCATTGCACAGTTTTAAACATTCCTACCCTGATCTCTTTAGATGTTACACTGCTGCCACACTTACTCCTTTCTCTTTTTATGATATTAACTTCCTTTAAGAAATTATAATGCTGTGATAAGTGATTGGAACATGGTGGGTGTTTTATTTCCACCCAGCACTGCTGCCATTGCTTGGTAAGCTGGGGGTTCATTATAAAAAGATATGAAAGGTATTAATTAACCGTAATAAACCTTCCACCCCTGTTGCTTGTGTTATTATATTAATGCAGTAACTGCAGCTCATTTGTAATTGTTCATTTTCTGGCTGATTATAACAAAGCCTTCTGAATGTGCCTGTATTTTATAAAGGTGGAGATTTACATCTTGTGTAATGATGTACAAGGTCTTTGCCTTTTTATTTTGATACAAAGAAACTTTTAGATGGACATTTACTTTTGTGTATTGGTTGTGCATCCTCCTTGTATGAGGGTGTAGTAAATGACTTGTCTCTTCCAGGGAATAACATCAGAGAGCTTTTTTTTTGTCCTAGACATGACTGGTACCAGACAGAATCTCAGGTCATTGTCACAATCATGGTGAAAAATGCCAAAAAGGAGGACGTCAGGGTCAGCTTCTCAGAAAAAGCGGTAGGTTCCTGTTCTCTCTCATTTGCTAGCCTGCTGAGCCTGGAGATCACAGCACGTGATGAGAGGCTGACTTTCCTTAGGCCATACAATTCATCACACTGCGGGAGGCAGTGAAGAGATTCCTCACTGCAAACCATATTTCATATGTGTTGTTAGCAGTATTTATTATTTTATATATATTTATTATATTTATATAATATTATTAT